TTACTATGGTGTATTTGTCTCGGGTTTGTGCGACTTTTAATAGACGATGGAACAACGGAATAAACTGGACACAAGAAACATACTTCGAGTGTCATTGTCTTCTGTTACCCCCAGATGGAACTGTCTCGTTGCAAAGAAACAAGCTCAGGGTTCTCATTGATTTAGCGTTCTAGTGAGTTAAAATGTTAAATCACATTATATTCATTTTTTGGTGTAATTGTATTTTATTTTGAAGGCACGTTTAAATACAGTTAAATTAAAATTATTAAATTAAATCAATGTAAAATATGAACAATCAACGTCCCCCCTCAGTGGGCCGCGGTAAAGTTATCAAACGTTGACCGGTCCGCGGCGATAAAAAGGTTGGGGACCGCTGGCCTAAGACATACCTAAGGAACTCAAGTTTGTTAAGCTTCTCCTAAGCTTGCCTAGAAAGTTGGTTTCGTCTCGCTGTGCGGTAACCAACGTCTGAAGGAGTCCTTTTCGACGGATCTGTTGTTGTGATTTAATTGACATTTGAACTTTGCTATATCTGGATTATTGTAATTGTTTTATTTTTGTGAAATTCATAATTGTATGTAAGTTTTAATCGTTAATATAAACTTTTGTGATTTGTGAAACAAGTGGATTTTTGAACTTGACGAAATGTTGCGAAATTCGAATACACTTGTATTCGAATTTCGGAACATTTCGTATAAACATGAATGTCACGAAAAAGATTATAGAGCAATGATAAACATAAACTTGTTTTTAACGAAAATATCGGCAAAACAACCATTCGAAAAATAATTAAATATAAGAATGTTAAGTATAGTCACCATTAAAGTGACTTGTTCTACTGAGTATTATTTGAATAAACAATCTCTAGGTGTCTCTCCCGACTAGGCATCTCACCCGTTTTTCCTTATATGTGTTGTATGTTTAAATCAGTAATTCTCAAACTTTTTTGATCCACCGCCCCCTTTGTTCCATAAAGTTATACCCAACGCCCCCTAACCCATTTTCTCTTGTGTGAGAAAAGGATTGGAAATATTCTTACGAAAACTTTTCTATGAATCTCACACTTTGTGCCCTTACTGTACATTGTTCTCATCATCTGAAAACCATTAAACGCAATGTTTCCTCTTATCAGCCCCAATTTTGCCTTTGGTCACCGTTCAATACCCTGCCTCTATCATAGATCTATTCATCGCGCCAGAAGGGGGCGTTATTGCTTACTTTGAGAAACGCTGAGCTAAAATAAAAGTCAATGTGTTAGAAATATTCAAGTTGTGACCTTCAATAAAAAATATATAAAATGTCAACATTTTATATATATTCCGTCGAATTTTTATATATAGAATTTTCCTTAACGCCCCCCAATTCTCTTTGAGCTTTCTACTGCCCCCCTGAAAGCCTCCAGCGCCCACAAGGGGGCGTTATCGCCCACTTTGAGAAATGCTGGTTTAAATGATTAAAAAAAAAGTATTAATTATTATCAAATTAGTTAAGTTCATTTTCAATGGAAGAAGCAACTTGCGTATTTTATGTAGAATTTATAGTTTCAATTCAACATTTTTCAATTGAAACTGTTCATTATACGTATTCATAACATGCGGATTGCTTGTAAATTATAATTATAATTTGCAAAATTAAAATTCACAAAAATACATCAAGATTATTAAAATTGTTATTATCTTTCGATAATATTTCTTAAAAAGTTATGCTTTTAAGAATTCTTTATACTTATTACTGACTAGCTGTGCCCGCGGTTTCGATGGAAATTCAGTTTGTGACTATAACAGTATCAGTTAGATGATACCTTTTAATTTATATGAACGTTTAACGAAATAATATACAGCCTATGTTCACCCTGAAGGTCCATTCTAAATATTGGTGAAAGAATTTTTGAAATCGGATGAATAGTTTCGGCGATTACCTCCTACATACAAACGTACATACTTTACCTCTTTACAGTGTTGCCGGATCTGAAGGTTAAAAAGTAGCGTGGTTGTGCTCCAAAAGTAGCGGATTTGAACTGTTTGTAGCCCAAACAATAAAAATGAATTATTTTGCAACTATGCACTTTTACTAATGAAATAAGTTTGTAATATATGTATATACATACACAGGGTGTATCAGAATGACGTTTTAAAAATTTAGGGATTGTAGAGATGAAATTTTGAACGTTTTGATATAAGGAACCTACAGCCGGAAATGAGATACGGGCCCCCACCAGTGGGCGAGTGGTCTCCGTTGCCGCTCAAAGCGGTGACCAGACCCTAAACACTGGGAAGTTCGGTCGTGGGTTCGCGCCGCGATCGGACAGGCTGGCTGCTTGGAGTTTTCCGGGTTTTCTCCTTGCCAATAACGACTGAATAGGAGGCCAGTTTTCCATAAAAGTCCTCCCGGAAGGCATTAATTCCCGCGCGTACGTATAGGCCGTTCGGATACGGCTGGCAAATCGGTCGCATAGCGATCATACACACAGAAGTCTACTTGGAGAAAGAGCCTAAATTGAGCTAAAATCTCCATATAAACAACAACACCGAAGAAGAAGAAGAAGAAGAAAGAAAGAAATGAGATACGTATAAAGTTCCTACTGCACTTTGCACGTTTTTTTGAAGTCGGTATGCTGAATGAAACAGTATTTATGACAAGTTTTATCGACAAAACAGTAGAGTACAATCAAACTGTAAATCGAATCAGTGGCTGCACTACTTTAGAGTAAATATTCAGTGTGACGACCACCAACTTCGTTACATAATGTGCAACGACGAACCATGTTTTGTCCGACTCCCCATAAGATGCCACGCTCCCCTCTGATGGTATTAAATGCTGTAAAGATGCGCTCCGTAAGCTTATGAACTGTTCCTACAGGTGTTGCGTACACAAGGGACTCACGTTGACTAGCTGTGTGTTTACATCACAACGCCAGTAAATGCAAGGGATGACCTGAAGAACGACAAGCACTGAGTACACAACGTCCTGTACACAGGCTCAGTTAGACCACTGTAGTTGTGTGTTTAAAGTCTTTCATCCGCAGCTATAACATGACGTCAATGGATGGAAGGGTAGCTACCAAAGTGAAGGGCGGTCAAGCAATTTCTACCGCTGTAGACACTTTAGTTCAAATTTCTGATTATAGGTTCCTTATACCAAAACGTTCAAAATTTCATCCTTTACAATCCCTCAAATTTTTAAAACGTCATTCTGATACACCCTGTATATGGACATTCGGTGTATCTGCTTCAATTTTCTCTAAATCAAAGCGAGTCATTCGCAGGCAAAGCGATTCATTTTTTGAACTTAGAAACTTAGCGACTACGGCTTTTCTTTTCAGTTTTAAGGCCATCCTTTTCCATTGTATCAAGAACTGTTGTATCAAAATTTAATAACTTTTGGATCACTTATTGGGAGAGTAAATTGGCAATTCCAACAGCATAATGCTTGTAGTAGACAATCCACAATTTCACAAGCAATGTCGCCTCCGTGCTTGTAAAGTTGTGGATTGTCTACTGGAGCGAACGACTGATGGAAACGAAAGCAAAATATCTTAATCTTTGTTAAACGTTGCAACTTTATTTATACACTTAAGTGTAATGAAATTAAATAAAACTTTATTACTTTTGTATAATACAATAAGTCTTTTGCTATTTTATATATGAAAATAAAAAAGTAGCGTATTTTTAAGATTTATAGCCTGAAGATAATTATCACTAGCCCAAAAAGTAGCGTGTCGCCCAATTTGAAATTTTTGTAGCGAAAGCACTTAAAAAGTAGCCCAATCCGCTACTTGTAGCCCAATCTGGCATCACTGGNTCACTCACGGACATTCCTGAAGGGGCTTATCAGTACTGTAATCTAATTTGCAGGTGTTATTATACAATATTGAACACTATTCTTTATATGATAGAGTCATTCTCGCTGAATATTAGTCATAAACAATCCAAGCACAAAATAAAATACGGGTTTAGCGTGCAGCTAAAATCCGTCAAAGCGCTTCGATGGAATAGGTCCGAATTTGATCCTACCTCGTATGATAGTAGCTTCGATCTCGACACGTGTTCCACGTCCTTTGTTTCGTCGGGCAAGATTAATGAGGACACTGATTCCTTGGGAATACCTTATTTTATTCCTCGTGACTACGGGATATTTACAAAGGCCTAAGTTAAATTATTATACAAATGTGCGTTCGTTGTCGGAGTTGACTCCGAAGATCGGCGTACGAAAGCGAAGGTCGGCGTACGAAAGCGTCTCTCCTAGTCGGCGTCCGAGGACGAAGTGAGGTCAGAGGGGAAAGGTCAAGCGGTGGCGCCCTCTGCCCTACACGGGGAATCCCTACAAGTCAGTACAAATGGCGTTGCCAGTCGCTACAATGAGCAAGATGTCATTATTATACATTCATTTAATTAAAGAAAGGGGATTACCCAGTTTCGTCAGAATCAGTAATGAAAAATTCCGTGCTCATTTCAATCACTCCGAATCGTAGGTGCGACGAAAATATGAAATGAAATGATTCAAATTTTTACAAGATAATATTATTTATTGTGAAATTTTTCCGCCTCCTAAACGGTAATTTTGCCGCCCCCTAAAAAGTGCCGCCCGGGGCGGGCCGCCCCTGCCGCCCTCCCCACGGTACGCCACTGCGGCACCCACAATCATATATATTATAAAAAACTTATATTTTATATTATTTTTGTATTTTCTAATTTTATGTTTATCTTTCTGACTAGTACATTTCTTTAAATTTTGGATTATGCTACTAATCAAATTACTTTTATCTCCTTTTTTAATTTTTAAATCTTTTATATTTTTATCAATATTCGCTATCATATCTGTTGTAATATCAATAACCGGCAGATTATAATCCAAATCCAACTTCCTGGAGTAATCTGATGAATATTTTGTGTTTAAAAAAAAAAAATTGAGGTTGCTACAATATAAGTGTGATATACGAATCTATAAAATTTTAAAATATATTTTCAGCATTCGTATTTTTAACAAACGACCATAAATTTATTTATTTTAAGTGTAAAATTGCTATTATTATGATGCATTGTAACGCAACAGTTAATCAGAGTTCGTTTCTTTGTTGAAATCTGCAAACATTTTCAGGCAAAAATCCAAATGGTGAGTGTTTATTTAGATCAGATTTTCTTCGCAAAATTTTCAACTTATTATAAATTTTTCATTCATTACTTATCATTTATTTGTTTACAAAATTATAATAAATATAATCTAAAATTTACTTAAATAACTACTTGTTTTCAATTATAGTTTTATTAATTGTTTCTTTCAAAATATAGAAATAATTTCTTTATAAATCACACGTTTCAGTGTTAAAAGAACCGAAACTTTAAGCATTTTTCTTTTCTTAATCATCAGTCGGATTATCGCGTGTTCTTTTCGAAAGTTAGCTCCGACAGAACTTGAAATACTTTCATTTCATAATTAGTTGTCGTGTTAGCTTTCATTATCTTGTATATTTTCACATTCATTGTTAAAAGGGACATAAAGATAAGAAATAATATCCTAACATCACCTTTTCAAAGCAAATAGAGATAAACGATAAAAGTACTTGTTATCTGTAAAGCAACACTCTACACCAGTGATTTTCAACCGCTGTGCCGTAGGTTAAAAATGATTGAAAAACACTGCTCTTGACTAATACTAATGATTTGCATAGGATGTATACAAAAGAAATTTCAAATTTTAATTTGCTCTTTCCGTCCTATAGACAATAAGAGGCCTTTCTCACGCCTCGAATTCGATTCTGGGTTTCCCAGAGCGACAGCCTGAGGCCTCAATCTTCCATACATCCGCGAAGAGTTCTCTGATTAGACAAAGCAATTTAAAAATCATATCAACATAATTATGTTTCACTTCACAAATTTCGCTTGATCATTTGAAACGAAATATTAATTTTATTTTCGTTTCAAAGTGGTCTAAAAAATGGAAATCGTAGAAATTACCGAAGTACAAAACAGAAAATATAAATTCTGAGACACATTTCTCAAAATTTAATATAAAATATATCAAGAAACGTTAATAAATTACAAAATATTTCAGGATATCTCCACAAGTGATAAAGGCAAGAAGACTGAAAAATGCAAAATTTGCAACGAAACTTTTGAAAACAATTCCTTATTGGAAGTGCATATGAAGACGCACGTGATGGAAACAAAGCCATTCTTATGCCAGTTGTGTGGTTTCGAAGGCACAGACGAAGACGATCTCAAGCAACATAAATGGGCTCATGTAGTTAAAGAGTATCGTCAAAATATGGTATGTTCTCGTGAATTACGTACAATAAAATGGTATTTTGATACAGTTTCACAACAAATGAAATGATATAAAAAATTTCCGATGCCCATTTTCTTAGAAAACATTCTTATATTTGAATACTAGTTAGCTGGTACTGTTCTCAGCATGGGCATCAGAAAACAATTTTCCAGAGATTTTTACACGTAATTACGTCAATTAATTTTTATTAATATAAGTTTATTGACGTAATTATTGTCGTAATTAAAGGTAAATTTTAAAATATTTAAAATATGTAAAACCAAAGCATCAAATATTGTAAATTATAATTTTAATACACTAATAATTATGACGTAAGTATTCTTCGTATTTATCGATGTATTCAAACAATATATTTAAAATGTGGTAAAAACATTTTTATTAAATGAATAACGAAGAAAAAGAAGAATGGTTAAACGAGTTAAATAGTAAAAAACATGATAGAAAAACTCCTGCAACTAGTTGCTTAACTATCCCGGCAACATTTGGTGGTGCCATCTGTTACAATATTTTACTTTTAAAGAACTTTATATTTTTAAGCAACTTCGACTTAGTGAAGTTTTGCTGTAAATGATTTTTTTACGTAAATAAAAATATTTTTGCACAGTACATGTGTACACATAGTCAATTATCTTCTAACTATAATCATATATTTAGACAAAGATATAACTGTAACAGAATTTAATATCTTTGATTAGGACCTTCCAGAAGATATTAATTTGCAGAAACTTCAATGCAATATATGTGAAAACATCTTTGATTCTATAAAACAATTAAAAATTCACATGAAAAGTCATAGTGGAGAATATCCTTATAAGTGTAATATGTGCCAGAAAATGTTTAAAGAAAAAGCAGATTTAGAAAATCACTTGAGAGCACAACATCCGATTGATAATGAAGGAACCAGTTCATCATCTCAGGTAAAATATAAAAAGTTTGCTTTTCTTTCATCATCATTTCAGAAATATGTTCATTTTACATTATTTTCAATGTAATTATTATGAAGAGTACTTGAAAACGACCATTAAAGTATTAGAAATTTCTTATATTGCTTTTCAATTTAATAGAGCAGATGAACCTCATATTTAATACAGATAGAATTTAAAACAATTTATTTTATTTATACTGCATCAATTACTTGCTCATACATGTCAAAAACAAAGACAGAAAACTGTGATCTATAGGTCGTTACTTTTATATCTAGGGCTTTAATAGAAAGCCCTACCGTATCTTCTCCCCACTTGGCAGAGCGTCCAATTGTTGCGTTGTCTTTTTCTATCTAACTATTTTCATGCAGTTATTTTAATAATAAAGTTTCACTCGAAAATTAATTATAATAATATAGCGAAAATAATAATTATTTTCATTTTTTAAGAAAAATACAGAAGGAGATAAAGCAAACATTTTTCGATGCAAGTTTTGTAAACAACAATTTGAGAACGAAAGCAATTTAAAGTCACACTTGAAGATTCATAGTGATTTAAAATCAGTCGTAGAAGAAATGTATAATAAGAATATTAAACAGAGCAATGATCAAGATAAAGTTGATAAAAAACAGGGCAGACAAAAAACATTTCCATGTAAAGAATGCCCCTTTCAAACCACATCGAAAGAAGAATGGCGTATTCATTGTCAAAGACATTCTGATGGAAATCGTTCAACATCAGAGGTATTCTTTCTACTCATTCACATTCTAACTTAATCTTCTATCGTGTAGAGCAGTTTTGAAAGATTTACCCTATGCTCTAAATAAAATGGCACCGAGTGCCATATTATTTAGTAAATACATAGCTTACCTGTAAGTCTATTGAAGGCCACTTCACATATAAGATGCAGGGTGATTTTTGATCCCTTATTTTTTGAACAAAAGCTCCAAATATGACGTAAAGTACAGTAAACGTTAATCATTTTACTCTCTATACCAATCTTGAAAGTACAGTATCTGAGTTCTAGTATATTAAATTTTGCAATTAAAATTATGTATTTGAATGGTTATACTTCATGAAATTAATTCGTTTATTAATAATGTTATATATTATGAAAGATGAAGGAATGGAATATTATAGAATTTATGCTGTGTTTTTATTTAATATAATGATATTTTAAAGGATGTTGTAAAAGAAAACCCGAAAGACAAAGAAACGAAATTCCAGAAATCGATTCGCAAAGAGAAAGACAAAAAAAGTGGAAGAATGTAATTAAACGATTTCCGAAAAAAGAAGACTTTTAAGTTTCAGAAATACTTAAGATTAATATTGAAGGTCCTTTCAAAATTCGATTTTATTGATTTTACGAGATAATAAATTCATTTTTGTACTCATCGGCCTAACTATTTCAGTCCAAAATTTAAATGCCTATAATATTTTAAATCCTTTTGAAGTTTAATCTGTAAAATTTTAATAAATTAAAGTACAAAATAAAATAATAAATTATTCTTCGATATTATAAGGTGGTTGTAGTTCATAATAATGTTACACGTGGGCGATCTGCCAAAGGGGATGCATACTGGAAGGACTTATAATGGGGAAACTGGCTCCTATTTAAGCGTTACAAACGTGAAGAAAATCTCGAAAACTCCACGTGGCTAGCCAATTGGCCTGGTGTGAACCCACCAAGACCAGTGTTCAGCAGTTTTATCCACTCGGCCACCGGTGGGTTTGCGTTAACAGAAAGTTTTACCGTATATTCGAACTCTTAAACTTAAAAAGTAGCAAACATATTGGACAGATATGACTGGCCAGCCGCTCCATAAGGCTTTTTTAAAATTCTTTCTACCCTGTGGGCATCTTTTAGGAAGCCCATATGAATGTTACATGTGCTGTGAATGTAACATAAAATTTTAGGGCGGATAGGGCCAGCTAAGAGGTGTAAACCTTTCGGTTGGTTTTGTTCATTTCACAGTTCAGTACTTTTCGTAATATTTTTATAATGTTTGGAAGTTTTATCTTTAACTTTACACAGGTAACTACAGGTAATCCTTTTATCCCACTTTAATAGCATTTTAATTTGGTTACTTGTTTATTTTTAATTTATTTTACTTTTCCTTGTTTTCGTTCCTTCTTTTAGTTTTAATTCTACACCTTTTATCCAGGAGTCACAAGTAAATATCGTTTTGGGTAAACTTTATTTATATTACCCAGAAAAAAATGAACGTATATTTTAATGTATTTTATTACGCAAAATTTAAAAAAAAGGACTGAAGAAGTGCAAATAGCCCGAAATGCATTTACACTACTTTATTATTTAACACACATTATTTCTATAGATTCAATTATTACGAAGTCCTATTCTCTTCGCCACACGTGTGTTCCTATCTATATAAGTTAGTTCGACACAGTTTTGTGCGTTTTTCCCAATGAACATAGAAAGAACAAGAGGCAATCAAGTATTAAAGAATTTAATATAAAGTGGCATGTAATTTTCTAGTCATTTTTAAATGATTTTCATCTATTCATATCTGTACATTTTTACCGATAATTAATTTATGTATAAATTTTAATACTATTATTAGGTGATATGTCTAACAGATACTTCGATGACGTCAGAACGATCGCGAATTCATACAATTCATTACACGTTTTGCGCGTGCGAAAGTATCCTAAAGTAATATGGAAATGGGAACCATTATACCGTTATTGTTAGAATGTATATGGGGATTTAGTTCAACCACTTTGACGCTTAATAACTAACTCCTGTGTTAAACCATCTGACTCCGATTACAACTATTCTGACCACAGAAATTATTAGGCTTCAAACAGGGTGAACAAAATCATCCTGTTCACACAGTCTAACATCCACACATACAGAAAAAGACCTCGAATCTTTTGCATGTCTCGAAATTTCAAGGTGTCCCGAGTCCAAAAATGTAAAAATTTGGGAAGGGGTCATTTTTTTGACCGAGCGCTATACTTTTCCTCTGTTATATATAACAGCCGGAAAAGTAAAAATTATCGAATACATATTTATATATTACTTAGAGGAGTCTTTTAGCTTTGGAATAAGAAGTTTCTACTCTCTATCTTTACTAGAACTCTATTTATTGAATATTTTATTCTGAGGTCACGTGATGACATCAGAATTTCCGGGTCTCTTTCTGTAACAAGTCCTCCCCGAGTCGGAGTTGGAGTCGGTAGATTTTTACGCGATTCCACAGCCCTGGTTTTTATAGAAAATTTACAATACATGTCATAAAAACATTTTAAAATTTTCAGTTAATTCTGTTATTCCAATAAAAATTTAGATTCTGCTTTACGACCGAATCGCAATTTTCCTTAAGTTTAGTGTCATAAATTGAGAATGCGTTCTTGTTCTAGTACAGGTTTCCCTCTAAAAGTCTAATACGGTATCTATAATATCACCATTAAAGTTAAATTCGGCTACACAAATCAATTAATTAAATTTCAATTTACAATGGAACTATGTGTAATTTCAAGCTTAAAAGTATTTAATTAATCGTGTAACTTCCCGAAAGATAAATACCTTCCTGTAAATATGGTTAATTAATTTTATCTTTTCCTCCAGAAATTACACGTTTAATGAGTTGATTAAAAAGGAGATATCCGTTAATAAATTTAATTTTTTTTTTTTGAAAAACACGAAAATATATTAGAGACGTACTTTTGGCATAAAGTACTTTAAGGTCATTCGTGAATTAATTATGATATTACTTTTAAAATGTATTTAATTATTAGGGACAGTCGAATGAAAACCAATCACCAGGCATAGGACTCGGGGCGCTGAAAAGTTGGCAACAATAATGTTTACGAATAATAATACCGTCTGTGGGAAAGGAGGGCGGTGTAATTCGTAAACGGCGGGGTTGCCGACTTTTGCGGTCAGTTCTGGGCGTGGTGATCCATTTTCTTTTGACAGCCTCAAATATGCGGGGAGTCGTTTGTATCTGACGATGGAGGGCGAGTTCTTGAAGACGTGAACTTGCACTCGTCTCGCAAAATAATTGTCTGAAAATAATTTTTGTGTATTTGCGAATGATTTAGACTTCTGGCCTGGTGACATAATTATGGGAAGGGAGGTACTTTGATTTAAGCCTATGACGAGTGGGAATGAAGGTCGAGGTAAAAAGAAGGGAAATTTTCCGTTAGAAAGTAGCTGTAGATTTTAATGATCTGATGTATTAGTCATACTGAACATTATAACTTTTGACGTGAAAATCACCTGACTTCTGGTTTAAACCGGAAATTCGTATATATGTTACCGCTAAAGCTCGAAATCCGTTAATATGTACATTACCTAGCTAATCTGCAGATTAACTAGGGTGATCCATTAAAGCTGCGAAAATGATTCCATTTCTCAAATTACCTAGGTAATGTGCAGAGTATCTAGGTAATCTGCACATTACCTACTAGTCATTCGGTAAAGTGAAAATAAGATTTTTGCTGGAACAACAGCAACTTTTCTGTACGCTTAAATTAACATAATGTTATTTATTTAATTTTCAATATCTAAAGAATCAAGTTAATACAATCAAACAATCAACAAATTAGTTGATTGAATCAAACATCAATCAATTAAAAAAACTTTAATACAAAAATCAAACGGTTTAAAATATTATTACTATTAGGGAAAAGAATTTGCAAAACATATGATAAAATCGTACTTACTTATTAGTGCAATCTAAAGATTAGTGACACTTTGAATTACGTAGCAATTGGTTTTTGCGACAAGCACGCCTATTTGTGGTACATTTAGATTTGCAGTCACATTTTCTGAAACCC